AATGAGGCTACTTGTTCAACGTCACTCAGATGATGAGGCGGCCCTGGCACAGACTTAAGTCCATTCAATCCCAAAGCTCTGTGCCTCCTCTCTGGCTCCCACTGCCCCCCAGGAGGTGAGTGATTGGTGGGCCCTTTCCTTCCTCCACAGGCCAAGGGGTGCCATGGAAATTTCCTCTCCTTCCTCTTCTTGCCCCAGCGAATCCCCCAGACCCTGTGCAGTGTGTTTCGTATGAACCAGCAGAGATGCAGAGCCGGAGCCTGACATCCTAGAGGCTCTGGACTTGCCGGAGCTGGAGGGGTTGACATCCAGAGGACAGCGGCTTTGCTATGACCCCCGGCCCATCTGGGGAGTCTGAAAGCAAGAGCATAAGTGCTCCGCACGTTCAACAGGTCTCTTCTGTAGCTCTGGGGCCGTCCGTCTCTTCGGCTCCCCTCTTCCTTCCTCACTGTTCAGCTGCTTCAGGTCTCAAGAGCAGATTAAGGAGTAGATCAGAGGGTAAGTTCCAGCAGAGTGATTAACTTAAAAAAAATCAAAGTAGATGATCTGGCTACATGTACCTAGGCATGCCCTAGGCCTCAGGTTCCTCCTTTGAAAAATAATTAATATTTACCTCTAATGCAGCTGTGGGGATGAAAAGTCGTATTGCTCGTGCTGGGAACACAGTACCCGAAGATAAACATTTGGTCTCTTCTCTGCATCTTGGTGCTGGCAGCATGCCAGCTGGCGGCCTAAATGCTCACGACGGGGATCCTTGCCCCAGATGTGTGTGCAGCCCTGCACTTACACCCACTCTGCAGATGAGAAGACCGAGACTCAGAGGTGATAACACTGTGCAGGGAGTAAGACGCAGGGCTGGGACCACAACTCAGCCTTCCTGACTCCAAAGATGAGGCTCTTGCAACACCTTGCTCTGTAACAGCCTGGAGCTGAGTCAGGCAGAGCTGACTGCTGGTGGCGGACGGACGGCTCAGCTCAGCTCTGTGTCACCCTCAGCCTGGCGCCACAGCCAGCCTGGAGGAGGCTCTAAGAGGCCCTCTTGCAGTGGCAACAAACGGATGAGGCGTGGACAGGGCCCATTCACGGCAGCACTCATGAGTGTGAGTGGAGTCCCTGTCCCCTTCCTCTGTAGGGTTTGCTCTCGTGAGACATAACCAGAAACACTGGCGTGGTGCTGGCCTCCTGTTGCTCAGAACCCTGGCCAGGCTGCCAAGGACACGGAAGCACCCTGATGCACGTCTCCAACCCAAAACCAAAATGGGGCCGGGGAGTCGGGACATCGCCTCGCTGTTAGGTCATCTGAAGTGGACAGGGAGCTATGAGGTAGAAAAGCCTGCAGAAGCGGGCCTGTGGGCACACTCAGGGCCTTAGCACACGTGTCCTGAGCTTCTCACTCACAGTCTCGGGGAAGCTGACCAAACCAGGGTTCCGATCTTTTGTCCTCTGATTTCTGAAAAGCACCTGCGGCCCCCAAGGCTTCCATCACTGCCTCAGAGCTTGATCTGCTCCTAAGAAAGTCAGCCAAGAGGCACAGCCCTGGGGCAGGCTGCTCTGGGACCGAATTAGAGTTTTCTCCTAGGACACCAGAAGAGCACTGCCGAGTCCTGCCTCTGCCACAGGCTGGAACACAGCTCCGGACACGGGAGGCTTCTCCTCGGGCCTCAGTTGTCCTCCCTCTAATCCCAGGAGGACTGGAACTAGTTTGGGGACCCAGAGAAACTGCACCATTTGATCCCACTGAGCCAGGACTCTGCCTCAGAATCCTTCTTAGACACAGAGCTCTAAGCAACTACTGCCGATAAATCAAGAGTTGGCTTACAAGAGGAGACCTGGTTGCTGCCCTTGGACACATTCATCTCGAGGCATCCCTCAGCTCTAAAGACCTGTGGCCCATATGTTTGTCCCCTTGTTCCTTTTGTCTAGGTTTCCCTGGACTCCTTGTGCCTTGGCTGGGAGGTTGGGGCTGTGATTAGGCGACAGGGGATAGACAGGCAGGAGAAAGAGCTCCCACGGCCTCAGGAGAGGTTGTCCTGGTGCTCAGAGCTCAGCGGCAGAATCGAGTCATGGGGAACCAGGCTCTGCCGCTTTCTGGCCAGTCCTGCTGAGGGTGGCTTTGCAGGTGGCAGCTACACCAACCACTGGTAGAAGGATGCCAACAGAGAGGCATGGAAATTTGAGCTCCTCCAGGCAGGGGGGTGACCACTAGAGCCAATTCAGAACCTGCACACTTGAGAACTCTTCTGGCCCGGCCACCTAAGACCCCACATCAATAGAGCATCCTTGCTACCACGTGGCTAGTTTATACGTTAATAGTGTGATGTCGTTTTAAAGTGGTTCCTAAGGTCTTTGTGACACAAAGACTGAAGAAATCCTGAGGTTTCCTGTTACAGTCACAGAAAATGAGTGGTGATGGCTGAAGAAGATTTGGGGCAGCTCCTTAAGTGTCCTTCAACACAAAACACAGCTCATGTTAAAAAGAGCAGTGTTGCAGCAGCTTCCCCAGCCTTGAGTAGGAGGAGCGGGATAAACAGACACAGGATTCTCTGCCAGACACAGAGGTTTTGTGTTGATTTTATGCTGTCGGAAAACATCCAGATAGAAAGCAAAGCCTATACATTTTTTAGACATGTTGTTGTGCTCAGCCAAATACCAGACTTTACTGACGAGGTAAAGACACGAAATTCAAGTGGCAAATTTTCAATTTCTGAAGTCACATTTTCTTAGCTTATAAAGGGAATCCTAAAAGCAAAACACCACAAGGCACAAGGCCAGTTCGATTCTATACGTGTTTGTGGAGCACCTGCTGTGAGGATGGAGCTAAGCCAGCCCTGGGGGAGCAGGTACTCAGGGGGCATCTTTCTTGCCCTTGGGGAGCTTCTGGTCCAAAGGCAGAGCGAACCAGAAGCAATAAAAGTTCCAGTGGAAAGGGATGGGGAACTGTCCCTCTGAGGCCCTGAGGGCTCTGCAGACCTGTTCAAACATGTCCAGGTCAGGAGAGGGCGGAAGGCTTCCTGTAGGAGGCAGCATTTCAAGACGGGTCTCGAGAGAAAAGCAGAAGGGTTTTCCATCTGTCGAGAGACCTGCGGAGGCCCACGCCGAGCCTGTGGGCAAGATCCAGGAGGGGTAATTCTGGCTGAAAGCAGGTGGAAGTCGCATAGCAGAGAAGCTCCAGGAGCTAGGTCGGGAAAGGTGTTCGGGGCTTGAAGGCCTGGAGAGGGGCAGCTACTATGGAGGTGCCAGGGCGCCCACCGAAAGGGCCGAGTAGAGAAACAGCTCCAACAGAACAGGGCGTGAGGAATCCAGTGTCCGTTCTCCACCAGAAATCAGGGGACACCACAGCCAGCCTGGCTTTACTTTGCAGGAACAGATGGGAGAGTAGAGAGGCTGCCGGGTCCAAGGCCACACACTGGGGGTGGCACAGGCCCAGAGCCCGCAGCCCTGGCCTACAAGCCTGGAATGCCGGCCGGTGGGCCAGGGCCGACGGCGGGCCTGCAGACGGCAGAGCATGGCACAGACGTGCAGGCTGTGTACCGTCACCCGAAGGGGACAGCGCTAGTCACCAGCAATAAGACTGAGCCACTCTGGCACCAAGTGCGGGGCCCTGACAAAGGCGGTCTGCTGAGGCACCTGGAACGGCTACAGCCCTTCTGAACGGTAGTGCCAGTTCACCACTGCAAGGGCTTGCTTCTTACACCCATCTGATGACGCCAGGTCAGTTCTTCCTACCGTGGGCTGCATGGGGAGCTGCACGGGCTAATATGGCTATTACAAGTGAAATTTAAATGAATGGAAATTATGTAACACCAGCAATTCTGGCCCCCAGTTGCAGAAGCCACATTTCGGGCGCTCGCTAGCCACACGCAGCCAGGGGCTAGAGTGTTAGATCGCACAGAATAGAACATTTCCATCATCATGGCAAGTTCTATTGCATAGCGCTGATTTGGAATGGGGGTCAGCGAGCTGTGCCCCAGCCTGGGGGTTCAAATCCAACTACCACGTGTTTTTGTAAATAAAGTTTTATTGAAACGCAGCCACACTTGCTCTTTGGTGTATTACATGCCTGTCTGCTTCTGAGCTACCACAGCCGAGCTGAGTACCTGTGACCGAAACTGGCCGCGAAGCCTGCAATCCTTACCCCCTGATCCTTTCTAAGGCAAGTTTGCCATCTCTGGTGTAGATGGTCGGAAAGTTGCATAAGGATCTTTTCTGGAAAGATGCTCGCTGGCATCCCCAGCAGCACCCGTGGATGCCCAGCATCTGGATGACTTTCCCCAGGCACGTGGCTCCCTGGGAAGGAGGCAGGAGACACGCAGCTGTAAGCAGCAGTACCAAGCTTGGTGGGGGGCACAGGGTACCCCTCCCCAGGCCGGCACCGCCTCTGGAGGGACTGCCCTCAGGGAGAGGCAGTGGGGCATGGCATTTGGGTGGCGGCGAGTCTGCCCAGGAAAACCACACGCTGGAAGGATCTCACCATCAGCTTGCTTTATTCTTCTCACTCTCCCCAGGTCAGTGAGGCAGCAAGGTTCATACAAAGAAGACGAACTGTTTTCTTGTATCACCCCTCCCAAACCAATATTCCACAGATAATTCTAAGAGCTTTTCATCACATTTGGCCTAAGTGGAAGGTCTGGCATCCCACACTTCAAAAATAACTCCCTTGGTGATGTTAGGCCAACTTATGAGCACTCATTTCTATGAAAGGAGGAACATCTTGAGCAGAGAGAGGGTTGCAAGTCAGCCTCCTTCTGGCCCTTCTCGAGTCCTGCAGGTCAAAGAGGGGAGCCAGGCTGCGTGGTCAACTCCCATGGGAAGAGCGCCTCCTTCTACTTATCCCTGTCCAGGCAGCACCCGGGGCTGCTGGACCAGCAGGGAGCCTGGGGGTTCTCTGTGGACCCTGCACTCCGGCTGCCCACCAATCACTGGTGAACTAGGTCAGCATTTTTCTCCTTTTCTAAACACAGTCCTTTGTGGAAAGGGGGACTATATGGATTCAAGAGGCTCTTGGAGTGTCCTGGGGCCAGAGAGGGTGGATTCTCTCAGAATGCCCGTGAGCATCTCAGATGGTAACTCCTGGGACCGCAGGGCCCCAGGAATGCTGCAACTGGAGCCACGCAAAATGCAAATGCACGAGGAACTCTTGCTGTCACACAAGCAAGTGGGGGGAGGGGAGCACCGGCTTCCCTTCCGGTGCAGCCAGGAGGCCCAGAGCTGGCAAGCCCCGCTCTGTCTCTAATTCTCAGGTTGAGTTGCTGAATTCTCACTCCTACTAGCCTTTCTCTGCTGATCTGAGTTATTTGGATAAATGGGACAAAGACTACAAAAAATATCCTAAGCTTTCAGCCCTCCCCTCAGGACCAGCCTTTCAATACACACATTCTCCCAGGCCTTCGTGAATTACAGAGAAAACAACAGGGAGCGAGTCCTCTATGGAGCTACATCTGGGGGTGGTTTAATTTGCAGGGGTCCGGGACAGGTCTCAAGTGTTGGGAGGTCACCCGCGCTGTCGTCTCTTCCGCCCCCGCAGCTTCAGCCGCCTGGCTGGCAGGCTGATGGGCTGTTTCCCGAACTTTTCCATGATCTCCCTGATCCTGGCCAGGTTGGTTTTGCTGAGTGTGAAGTCGCACTGCGTGGCCCCCATGTCATAGCCGACCATGCAGTTCTTGGTGGATGAGGTGAACCCTTCGGCTTTGGCTGTGACCACATACTCTCCGGGGTTCAGGAGGCGCCAGTAATCCCCATCGCTGGCTGTGAAGAGAAAGGAGGGGAATTCAGAGCAGTTCTCTTCTAAGGCAGATACCACCAGCCCTGCTATTCCATAAATGGTGTCCGAGCCAGAGAGAGACTCAGAGGCTGGCCTCGTGGAATTCGAGCCTCTGCAGAGGCAATTTTTTTTTTTTTTTTTTTTTTTTTTTGCAAATTCTTATTTTCCTCTTTGGAAGCCACCTTAATGGTTTTAACAGGCAGAGGGCTGGGGTGTAGGCTCCCCATAGTGTTCATATACATGAGTGAAGATGGAGAAATGATCACTCACACTCCTTCCTCTGTGACAATACATGCCATTCATTATGAGCCTGAGCTTCCAAATGCTATGCCCTCACCACAAAATGCCATCTTGAAAAGCCATCAGTGCCTGGCTTTCTGGTCTCCCTTAGCCTGGCGATAAATACAGAAGAGTAATTCTTTTAAGAGGTGGGGCTCTTCACTTCTGAAAAGAGAAATAAAAGACTCAGGGGACCAGGGCCAAATGATCTGGGAGGAGGCCTGGTATCTGCATTCCCCGGCCCAAGGGGGCGGGGAGTGGCAAGAGAAACGTGAAGTTGTAGGAGCTGAGACAGGGGTGCTGCAAAGCGGAGCTTCCCCCTCCCCCACAACACGGCTGCTCAGTCACCCAATAACACGTCGGGGCCCCGGGTCCACCCTTAGCTCTGGACTCCATCTCTGTTGCAGAGAGGGCTTCCCGGCCAACGGTCTCCTCCCAGGAGCCCACAACAGGCTGAGGACACTTAGACCCCGACCTGAAAAGAGGCTTTGAGGTGAGGAAGGGGTCACCAGTGACCTCCCCCACCCACCCGTGGAGGACATGGCGCCCAGAAGGTCGAGGCAGGCACTGATCCGCGGAATCTGCAAGCAAACTTCTGAGGCAGGTTGCATGATGAGTCCCCTTTCCACGTGAGTAATCTGATGCCCAGGGAGGCATGATGTCCGGCATGAGGTCACACGGCCAGTCACCAGCAGGCCCCCCAACACCAGACTCGGCTCTCTCTCTCACAGCAACCTGGGTGTCCCACCCAGTCTGAGGCTTTGGTGCCAGAAGAAAAAGGAGAGTGGTAATGAGGCCCCGGGCCAGGCTCCCTTGTTGACCACAAGCCCTGAAATCTTTGAAGGGACGGGAGCAGCGCCATGTGTGTGTGCGTGACTGTCTATCTCCCCCAGACTCACGTAGGACACTCTGAAGCATCAGGTCGAAGTTGCCACCTTTATTCAGCGGAGACACCCCCATGCAAGTAAGTGAGCTCACGAGAACATGTTGTGAAAAATGAACTCCGTAGGCAGCCATCTGCCACACGTACATACAGTCCGCTCACTGGCCAACAGACCCCTGGGTTGGGGTCCACCCAGCACAGGTGGCTTGCTCCCTGGTTCCTATAGATCATCCCAATTCTTTCTTCCTTGGCTCTCACCAGAGTCTGCTATTAACTTTAAAGTTTTCCTTTATAATTGTTTGTAGATCTCCCCAACTAGAATGTCTACTCCCTGAGGTGAGCGGCCATATTTGTCTCCTTTACCACAGTAGCTCTAGACCAACACACAGGATGTTCTTCATAAGGTATGTTCAAAGAACAAATGAAGCTATCAGGAATTTGTTTAGGTTCACAGAATCAGAATGAGGGGTGTCCGCTCTGGAATCACCAAGTTTCCACTTCTGAAACATGGATGCTCTCCTCTACCTGGCAATGCACCCTCTCCCCCAAAAGTTCTTGGTAAGGCTTTCCCCACACTTCTCCCCAAGGTTCTTGTAATCTCAGTTTCTTCCCCCGACCACCAGTAAAGTCTAGAATCATCCACTTCATAAAATTCAGGGGTCAGCATGGTAGGTCACTATCCCACAGGGTGACCAGGTCTGTGTTCAAGGGTGAATGTTCTGTCGAGCTGTGGGGTGGGGGGTGGGTACGCAGCTGGTGTCGCTCAGCACGGTGGACAGACCAGGTCTGTGTTCAAGGGTGAATGTTCTGTCGAGCTGTGGGGTGGGGGGTGGGCACGCAGCTGGGACAACCCAGATGCTCACAAATGTCCATTCGGTAGCAGGTCATGCTAATGTCCACCAAACAGAGGACATTCATGGGGCATTCTGAGCCAGGTGCTTGGCCAACATATTTGCATGCATTTAGAAAGTACTCTGACTAGCTTCTCTCCTCTTGGACTTCAATTCCCCTGTTGATTTTATGCAAAATCCCTCCTGAAAGGAAACTTGTCAGATCACAGAAGCCTCGGAGAGAGATCAAGGCAAACTCAGATCGTACGCTGAGCAATGAAAGACGCCGAAATAAATATGATAAGGAACCACGTGTAAAGTACAGAGTTCATCTATCAGGAGAATACACTGGGACATTATTTTAGGGGGAAATAAAGGAGAGGGGGAGGCGGCTCCCATCGGCTCATCCAAACCACTTCGGTGATCACAGGGCCTTGAGGTTCCGAGCTCACTGGGCACAGCGCTCTCTTCTGGCTTGTGGGGCTCGGGGGGCTCTTTCTCTCCCACCCCACTTAAAACCCTCCTGTTTTCTCACATGGCGTACCAAGCACTAATAGTCCCAAGAACGTTCTAGGTTCTTTTGTGAATCTTTCTTTTACAGGAGGGCACTTGTTAACAATGCTTAAAATACAAGTCCTATGCGGAGCCAGATAGAGCAGCCCCCTCTATTCCTAACGCTCACCAGCAGCCCGCGGCGATCCCGCCCGGCACAGGTTCAGAACCTGGGAACAAACGAACGGACGGATGAGTCCGGGAACGAACGCACGGCCCCGCGGACGGCGGTGAAGGGCGGCTATGTCCCGAACGCCTTGCTGCACGGCGGGAGAGCTCACGGGCAGCGGCTGTGAGGTCCTCAAGGACAAACAGTAGGCAGGTTCAGAAAATGCGAAGGCGCGTCATGGCATTACACAGCGGTCTGCTATCTTGTGGCGTGTCAGCTACAATTCACCCATTTAAACAATCCTTGACCTCCTGTACCGGGCATGTCAGCAGGCAGTCATGTCAGCCTGGCGCTGAAGAACACGTGGGCGATGTGTGAAGCCCAGCCTACCCCCTCCTACGGTCCCAGAGGCTCCGTTTCCTCGAAGGTCAGATGGGATCGCTTGTTTGAAGGACTGGGTCTGTTAATGCCTGTGAACAATCTGGAGAAGAAGCTCTTGTCCCCTCAGGAGGGACAGCATGGGGGCAAGGGCAGGGGCACCACATTCACAGTCCCTACCCCTGGCTCAAATCCCAGCTCAGCCCCTCTGCACTACCAGAAACATCATGTTGGGTCCATTCATTCATTCGAACTCATTTGTTCACTCAATAAATATTTATTAAGCACCTACTGAATGCCAGGCAGTGTGCCTGTACTTAATTGAGGCACAAAAGGGTCAAGGACCCCTGGTCTAGCAGCCAGTGAGGGAGGGGCAGAGACACCAGAAGGACAGTAGTCAGATGTCAGGTGTGGAAGCGCTATGGGAGGAGAAGGCAGGAGGCCGGGAAGAATCGCAGGTGGTAGGGGCAGGTGTGCAATGTTAGAAAAGGTGGTCGCTGTGGATGGCTTTGTTGACAGAGTGACAGCTGAACAAAGACCTGAAAAGGACAAGGGATTCTCAAGGAAAGGAGGTTCAGGCAGCAGGAGGTGCTAGAGTGTGGCCTGAGCCCTCCAGGAAGGAGCCTGCAGGGGTGTCGGAGGGGGCAGAAAGCACAGGGGAGCAATTATTCCTGTTTGACCAAAACCGGGACTCATGATTTTCAGTTTTAAATGGGGACAGCCCTGGGCAAACCAAGAGAGCTGGTCACCCCCAGAAGAAGAGGTTTGGGAGGTAACCGGTAGCCCAATGCCGTATGGCCTTTGGGGGGTACCACAGTGACCCCGACAGGGGCCGGGGCTGAGACCAGCCAGCAGCCGAGGAGGTGCTGCGTGGGCATAGATTCTGCATGTATGTGCTGTTAGACTGGGGTGGGGGGGGGCAGAACCAAGGCTGAGCCTCTGTTCCTCGTCCGCACCTTGTAGATCATTCCAGCCGTCACAGGCCGTAAAAGTGGTAACACATGGTGAGCACAGGAGCAACATGGACTTGGCCCAGTTTCCCTGGGATTGCCCTTGTTTGAAATCTGACAGTCACACCTCCTGAGAACCCTCTGAGTCCCGGGCCGCTGGCTGCCCCGTCCAGTGTAAGCTCTTGAACCAACAGGTCAAGGTCAGACCGCATTAAACACCTGCCGAGTCAGCCTCCGATTCTGTTTCTCCCGGTTGTTCGAGTGTGTCCGAGGGCTGAACAGGTCTTTCTCGTGGCAATCACGATTTCCCTTCTCCTGCTGCTGAGTCTGTGCTCGATGTCCGGGTGGGACCTGGAGCAGGTTGAATGATGGTCCCCAGAAGCCCACATCCTACTACCCAGACCCTCTAAATGTGACCTTATTTGGGAAAAGGACCTTTGCAGATACAATAAAGGATCTCCAGATGAAATCATCCTGTGTGACCCGGGTGGGCCCTAAATCCAATGACAGGTGTCCTTATTAATAAGGGGCAGAGAGGAGCATGCAGAGGAGGAGGCCACAGAGATGGAGGCAAGAAGCGGAGTGACGTGGCCAAGGAAGCTGCAAGAGCCAAGGAAAGGTCCTCCCCGGGGGCTCTGGAGGGAGCACCGCCCTGCTGACCCCAGGATTTCATACCTCCGGCCTCCCTAACTGTGAGAGAATACATTTCTGATCTTTTAAGTCTGTGGTCATTTTCAAGACACGCACTGGAAACCAACACAGGACCCAGTGCCCCCCGCCCACTGCAGCTGACACCAAAGCAAAGCCATCTGCCCACGGCGATGACACCGCGCTCCGCAGTCTCCCCACGGCCGAAAACCTCAGTGCATGGGCGTCAGCAGGCCCCCGGACACACCATTGCCACCAGAACCCCTGCAGACAACCTGCTTTAGGCTTCTAGCCAATTCTCTCCCCCGCGCACCTGTCACTGCATCACGCTGCACATGTTCCCTGTCACAGTCAAGGTCACTCTTCCCTTACCTGGCTCTGGGTGCACCGAGCACCATCCCGGGTGACAACGGTCCTGGGCACAAGGGAAAACTACATGGGTTTCCCAGCAGCGGGGAAGCCCTGAGTGAGCAGGGGCATGCTGGGGCTGGGAGTCTGACACCCGAACCCAGGCCCCACCTGCCCCTCAAACCACCAGTGGGTCCTTTTACCTTCCTGCACCTCTGGTTTTCACCTGAATAAGGGAAAAAGCAGAAAGCACAGGCTGAAAACCGTGCTTTCCAGGGTCTGCATGGGGAGTCTGAGGAAGGAGACAAGAATTCGGCTCTCTGTAAGAAGTTTCCGGCACTTGACGTGTGATTTTAACCCAAGTAAAATGCTTCGAGAAAACAGACATTCCCTACCGAGAGGCAGGTCGTCTATGCTCGCGGTTACCTGTTCGGATGTCATGGTTAACGCCTTCCACAGAGATAATGGCATTCGGAATTCCTTTCCCATGGAAGTCCCTCACCACGCCTTTGATGCCGCGATGGACCTGCTCAGCAAACACGACAAGAAACGGGGTGAGCTCATGATGCACTTGACCCAAAGCACATGGTGAAGGAGGCTATAAGCCGAACGCCACCCCAGGGCCACAGGGAACCCTCTCAGCACCTTATCTAGCTCAAAAGCTCCCTGTCTGTGCCTGGATTAGGTGTGTAAATTTCTGTGTTCCCTTTGGGTCCATGTACTGGGAAGTCTTCCGTCGGAGTTCAGATATTCCAGAGGCTTAAAAAATATTAGGATCTGAGATGGTTCTTATCAAGCACACACAGTAAAAATGGAATTTAATTTTTTCTAGGCCCATTTGTTTAGACTTTCCTGAACTCTACGGACCTAATACGTAGACCCAACCACTTAAGGGTCAGAGAGAAAAGAAAAGAGTCAAAGGCATTCCTATAAACTACAACTCCGTCCATAGGACCCTACTGCTGATGAGCTGTGTCACACGATACACATCACTCGGAACCTTGTGCCTCAGTTTCCCCATCCGTAGAACGATGTGACAACCCCAGGCGGCATACTATCATCTCCAATGACACTATATGTATTACTGCGCCTGGGCATTTTATCCATAGCAGGTGCCTTGGTGACACGGGATTACTTTAGAATGACCAGAGCCTTCTCTCTTTTCATAGATGAAATGAAGAAGAGCCTTCACTCGCAAAATTTCAGGGTGTGGACAGAGAGTGTGCTCATAGCTTCCCAAGAGGAAAGAACAGGTTCACACCCACTGTGCCAGGCGAGGGCACTCTGTGCAAGGGCTGCACAGAGTCTCCAGAGACCCTCGTGGGGCAGACTGGGACGCTAGGTGCCAGGGCTCACCTCTGCCAAGGTCAGTGGAAGTGGAGGTGCAGGGACCAGGAAGCTGGCAGCCTGAGCATTGCCTGAAAAGGCAATGAAAAGATGAAAAGATTCATCTACTACAACAACCCGTGGAAAGGGCAGCCTCCGTGCATGATCCTGCAAGCCTCAGAACCACACTTCCTAATGGATGGGAGTCACAGTAGAGTCACATAATTGAGGCCCAACGTTCCTTTTGTTTATTCCTCTGGTTTCCGGTTAGTCTGTTCCTTAGTGGGGCGTGGATGTTATTGTATTCATTGTAGCACGGAACTAGAACTGGTTTACTCAATGCTACAGGATGGGCGTGTCCTTGAGAGCAGGAGGAAGGGAAAGCGGGGGAGGTGCCTAGTGGATCCAGCAGGGCTTCCTCACCAACTGCAAGCAGAACCCTGGCAGGGGCTCGGGAGACCTGTTCCCAGGAGCCTCCCACACCTGCAGCAGAGCCTCTCAGCCTCACAGCCATGGTGGGCACCATGGTATCCTCCAACAATGCCCATGGTAAAGTCCTTACTCCCGGGACCTTAGAATGTGACTGTATTTGGAGACCATGTCTTTAAAGAGGTGATTAATGAGGTCATTTGGGTGGGCTCTGATCCAATCTGACTCCCTCCCTTATAAGTGGAAACGGGGACCCACAGAGACACCAGGAGCGTGTGTGCATGGAGAAAAGACCATGTAAGGACAAGGAGAGGAGACGGCCATCTGCCAGCCAAGGAGGCTCCTCCGAATGAAACAAACCTGCCAACACTTTGATCTTGGACGTCCAGCCTCCAGAACTGTAATTTCTGTTGCTTGAGCCCCGCCCCCACCCCGGTGTCTATGTTTTTATGCAACCCTAGCAGACTAGCACAAGGGGCCTGGGCATGCTGGCTCGGACACATGTCACCCCTTGCCCACAGGGCAACAGCTGGTCACACTCACTATGACCCAGTGTGAGCCGTCAACAAGGCTTTACAGCTCACTCTGCAGGGCTGAATCAAGTGCAGACAGACGGCGGTTCTTCTAGCACTGTTTGGGGCCGGCCCAGCAGGACAGCCGGAGTCCCCAGTACTAACTCAACTCGGTCTCAGGCTTTCAGTCCCCTAGTAGGCCCCACTCCTTTGCCAGCCCCCACCCCAATGTGTGCTCACGCCGTACCTGCTCCATGAACACGATTAAGGACTCTCGATTATTCTCCCACTCCTCGGGCAGCTCACTCTCGTGCGGATACTTATCACAGCCCACGTAAATGGACAGCTCGAAGCAGTTGGTGTGAAGGTAGCTGAAATCGTTGAGACCTGCCAAGCCGACCGGACAATGCTGTCACCAAACAGCGCTCCAAGGGGCAGGAGGGAGACAGCAAGAATGTTCAAGAACGGGATTCAGAAGACCTCATCCGAACGAGGCGGTGTCCAGTATCTACTGTAGACTACAAATGAATTACAGCAAAGATGAGGGGAGGGGCTGGGGAGCGAGAGAGAAGAGGTAGCCAGAAGGGTTTCTGGGGAAGACAGGTATACACGGGAACAACTCTGACAAAAGGAAGACTGAAATAAGTGCTTTTCAGATAAAATTCTGCTTATTAAATTCGGTTTAACACACTATTTTTAGAATAAAGCTACCATGAATTAACAGTATGGATTCTAAGCGTTTGATTAAGTTTCTCTCTTTAGTTACTCTCTCTCAGCTGCAGTTCTGGAACAGTGTTCTGTTCTCATTCATGCCAAGAGCTACCCTAACCGCCCTCCGCTGAGCACCATCCATGAGCCCAGACCTGTCCTTAGCGCTCTGTACCCACTGCCCACAAACTCAGCAGAGAGGTAGGCAGCACCGCACAATTTCATGAATAAGAAAATGGAGGTAGAGAACAGCTAAGAAATGTATCCAGAACCATGTGTCTGGAAAGTGCCAGAGTCAGGGTTTGAACCTAGGTGTGTGTGATGCCAAGACCTTGCTCTTATCTCCAGGGCTTGGCTGCTTGGGGGCCGCAGGACGAGCGTACTCACCCACCAAGCCTGACGGCAGATGGATCTCGAACATCCCGACACTACTGCAACAGGACGTGGAACGCCCAGCCTGGCATGGGGCCAGGCTCCGCATTAGCATCCTAGGGCTGCTGCTACAAAGGACCACAAACTGGGGGGCTTAAAACAACAGAAATATATCCTCCCATAGTTCGAGCAGCTGAGCGTCCAAAATCGAGGTATTGGCAGGGCTGTGCTCCCTCCAGAGGCTCTAGGGGAGGAAGCTTTCTCGCCTCTTCCAGCTTCTGGTAGCCCCCAGCGTCCCTTCGCTTGTGGCTACGTCACTCTGACCTTTGTCTCTGTCTTCACGTGGCCTTCTCCCGTGTCTGTGTCACCTCCTCTTAAGGACATTTATCAATGATTTTAGGGCCCATCTAGGTAACCCAGGATACCCTCACCTTGAGACCCTTAATTTAATTGCACCTGCAATGTCTACGGCCATACCACCCTGAACGCGCCCGATCTTGCCTCATTACACTGCAAAGACCCATTTTTCAAATAAGGTCACATTCACAGGTTGCAGAGATTAGGAAGCAGATATATATTTTTTCAGGGGAGGGCACCATTCAACCCACTATAACACCCAATATTTGCGAAGCGAAGAACTGAATGTTAGATGGCATAAAGTTCTTCCTGACATTTTTGTTTTTGGGCAACAGGGCGATTAGCAAGAACACAGTGCAGCTATGCTGTGCGTGCCCACAGGAAGCACATGCCCGGCAGCAGCCCCTCTACGAGCCCCCCTTGGGTTCCGAGGGTCAGGGCTGAGAGAGCTGAGTGGGGTGTGCTGGGTTTCTCTGTAGTAACTGAGCAAAGGAGCAGGTCCTCCTGCACAACCAGCCTCGGTCCTCACCATGCATCTTCCCTCCTTCTTGCCTACCTCGCCATCATGCTCAATGATGTACTGCTTAGTAGAAATGCCTGATTAAAAATCATGGCTTTGGGGGGCAAGAGCAATTCCACATCAATCTGCTGCCGAATCGCTAACATCGTGGGCAAAATGGTACAAAACACAGAGCAGCCCTCTCTGGAGGATTCCAGATTTGAACCACTCACATGTCACCAGATTGGCCTTTGACCACGTTTGTGATAAGACAGAGGCAGAGAGCCACGGGATGGAAGGGGTGGGACCCTGTCATGTCAATGGGACATCCTTCACAGGGGCTTGGTCTGGCTGGAGAAGGTTGGTCAAAAGGCCACATCAACGCATCCACTTGAACCCGAAGTATGGAATTACAAGAGGGCACAGCATGGCTGACAGACACCATGCCCACTAGTTAACACGGGCAGGACACAACGGAGAGGGCTGGATGCCTCTGTGCATATAACATTTTCATTATGCCCAGTCGTTCAGGCCTTGTTGATACGGAAATAAATCAGTGTTACATATGAAACTCTGGAGTGGGCCTGCCACTCTGCCATGTGTCTTCAAAGCACTACAAGTACCAGACGAATGGGGGAAATGCTGAGAAGCCAGAAGAGTGGAAAAGCTTGAGCCAGGCTACCTTTGCCGCTAACTTCTGGCCCGGCAGCAAATGGCATGAGCCGAGAATCCTTGGTGAAGAATGGTTTCGAAAGCATGACGTGTGGGCAAGGAACGGTGGCGTGACCCAGACAGGACCCCTCCCCCACGCCCCAGGTCCCAGCGGGATGGGCGAGATGTTCCTCTGTGCTCTCCTGGCCTAGAATCCTACTGTCTCGGCTCCCGCGTGGAGCACGGAGCTGTGCCTTCCCTAAGGCCCGGGTGCCCATCACCAGCTCAACGTGTGCTTCATGAAGGGGCAGAGGACGCAGGACGGCAGCCTGGGAACCAAGGGGGCCTGGCGTCACTCTGGGCGTTGAAACGCACACGCTACAAATGATGTGTGTTTTGAGCTTTCCTGAAGCCTGCTCTCCACAGCCCCATCTCCATTCACTAATCCCTGTCAGTCACTGCTAATGAGCGAGCAAGAACTGAACAAAAAGATGGAGCGGAGGGAAGGAAATTACAAGTCACAGTTCATTAATCTACAGAGAGAGGAATCCGCACACTTCCTCACACCACCAGGAGGAAGAATGATTAAGAAGGCTCGAGCTGCCCCATGGCTCTGCCACAGAAGTCCCTGAAATAATGGAAAATATAATTGATAGGAAAAAATCAAATGCTGCCTATGTGATTATGTGGCAGCCAACTTTTCAAAACACGACTATTGACCTGGCGCCGGCGAATCCAGCTGGGTCTGTACCCGAGGTAGTTGCAAGCAGCCATGAAAAATAAATAGATGGTTCACATTAAGGCTGTTGCCGGTTTTCAGTGCTAGAACTGAAAAGCAAGAATGGTTTTGGGCCATTAGAAAATTCTCTTGATCGGCAGGGATTTGTGGGTTTTTTTTGTTTTTTTTTGTTTTTTTGTGCAGGGCAAAACTATGATGGTAAATAAATAAAACACCTCTGCTGGGTAGGGAAGAAAATGGCAAGCTTTCTGTACATGTTAAAACATGGCCACGGGAACAAATCTGTTCACTACTTTTTTAGTTTTCTTTTCCCAAGCACGGACACATACCTGATTCAGCACGTGAAGGCTGAATCTAGCAAAGGGAAATAATATGATGGTTAATTAGGGAAAAAGAGAGCAGGAGGCATGAATGTGAGCACATACTATGGGAAGAGGGGGAAGGCAGACAGGGGAGCGGGTCCCAGCCGTGTGCTTCTCTGGTGAGCTAGACGGAGAACACCTCACACCCGCCACCCACGTGAACCTCACGACAGTCCCAAAGAGCTCACCATCTTCATCATTACCATCATGCCCATTTTGCAAATGGAAAATATGGGGTTCAGAGAGGTCGAGGAACTCCCCGGGGGTCATACAGCATCTGAGGGATGAACTGGAATGTGAATCTAGGTCTAGCTAACATGGAACGTTTTTCAAACTCATCGGTGGTTCGACAACCCTAACAAAGTCAAGAAAATAAGCAGTGAGCATCATGCTTGGGGTCTTGCCATCCCAAAGCTGAGGGACCTTAGGAAATACGACACCCTCATCTCTCCTCATCTGGGAGCCCTGGGCCGGCACGTCCCAGACGCAGCAAAGAAAGCTCATCCTGAAATGGGACCCCGGGGTCCTCTGTGGCTGCTATGAAGGAATTCCCGAAGTCCCTGCTGGTGGCCCCTCTGGTCCTGTGTGGATGCCAGGAGCAAAACCGTATACTCCCCGCATCGCACACAGGCGGGCTTTGACCAAATGCCCTGGTCCGCCTGGGAGGCCGGGCCACTCACCTCCAGCACATGGGAGGTGTGTGAAACAGTGTTCACCACACATCGGGCCTCGGGACACACCCGCAGCTTGGAGTCACTTCACACCCGAGCGTGGGATCGATGCCCGGCCCTTCTGGGGACCTACAGCATGGGACACCCGCATGATGGGCACGGCTCTGGGTAAAAACACCCAGCCCCAGCACCAACACACACATGCTCTCTGCCCCTCTGCTGGGTTTATTTTTGGTCTGATACTTCCTTGCAAGTCTACATTTACCCATCTCTGACCCTATAGAATCTGAATGGCTCGGTGCCAAGAGCAGGCCAAGCACATGCAGCTCTGCCCCCTTTCTTGCTTGGAGAGATCCCTTCGGATCTCCAAGCCCTGGTGATCTTGTTCATAAAACGGGGAGTAGCCACACACCCCAAGACTATCGGAAGGATGAAGGAGGAGTGTGCGCAGAGCGCTGGCGCCCTGTCCAAGCCAGACTACAGTCACTACTATCCCATGACCAATGATAAGGGCCGGCTGGGTGCCCCCCTGTCCCAGCAGTCCACTGCCACATTTGGCTGCACAACGACAGCAAGGCCCCCCAGAGACTTACTTCCGGCAACAGTGTGCCAAGAGGCCCCATTGACGGTCCCGTCCTCTTTCTGGAAGTCCTCTGTGTGGCACACCCTCCGCCTGGCATCGGTCATGAGGCGGTGCGTGGAGGCGTAGGAGTAGGCCAGCCAGCGGAACACGTGGTCGTCGGGCGTGGGGCTGGGCTCCTGTGTCTTCCACAGGGACCGCACCATGTCGTAGGGGTACGCCACCACCAGCTCGCCGCCCTGAAGGTTGCCGCCCAGGACAAAGGGGATTTTTTCCATCCAGGCTATGACAGCCCTGGTCTCTACCGCCACCTGCAAACATGGCGAATTTAGGCAGGCTTTGAGAAATAAAAATCAGAAGGAAACTGCATTCTCGTCCTACTTTCCAAACAGGGACGTAGTTGAAAGAGCCACCATTTTATGGAATACTTGTAGGAAAAATGTAGAATTTCAAAATCGGTCCGAGGAAAACTGGACTTTGTGCAAATCATGGATAAAAAAAAGAGAAATCTAGGGAAGTTTCTTTTTTGCAGGAATGTTCCAGTTAATGCCCAGAGGGAAAGACAGAGTTAGCGTATCAACAGTATGGCAACTGCAATGAATCAATGGGCCAGGCATGTTCATCCCTGGCTCCAGAGAGCAGAGAAAGAGAGAAAACCAACAGAATGTGTCTCCCGAGGGAAGAACATACACCTCAAAGAAAAACATCAACCCGGAAAATGACCAAGCCTCTAATCTGGGGGCCGGCAGCCTTTTTCTGCAAAGGGCCAGATGGGAAATACTTGAGGTTTTGAGGGCCCTGCAGTCTCTGTCCCAACTACCCAACTCTGTCCTAGAAGCTGGGGAAGCACCAGAGACAATACGCGAATGGTGTTCCAATAAAACACCATGTACACCAACAAACCTGGGTGGGAAGTAGCCCAGCTACAGGTTGTAGCTTGCCAACCCTGTTCCGTGGAGCCCAGTCCGTTCTACATCTCATGCCAATTTACGGGAAACACAGGGGTATAGGTTACATGACATGGTAGATATATAGTTGGCAGCACCCAGACAGTGGAAAATGCGACAAGACGATCTAATCTAGTTGCTGACAACCTAGTTGTTACGAGATAAGCAACGAGCTGAACAACAGCAAAACTGCAAGGATAAAAGGCAGGAAGTGAAACAGGAGAAAGCTTTGGGTTAAAGGAGACTGGAAAGCCAGTGCACCGATCACAATGAGGGAGCTTTAGTTGGCTCCTGATTTAAACAGACCTGGGTGTCTCAGTCGGGTAAGTGGCCGACTCTTGATTTGGGGTCAGGTCGTGGTCTCATGGGTCGTGAGATCAAGTCCCACAAAGGGCTCCACGGTCAGTGGGGAGACTGCTTGAGATTCTCTCTCTCCCTCTGCCCCTCCCCCTCCCTCTCTCTCTAAAACAAATAAATAAATCTTAAAAAAGAGAGAGAGAATGGTAATAGGGCAAATGTGAACCCTGCCTGGATATTTCATAATACTAAGAAATAATTGATTTTGATATAATAATGGTAATTGTTCATGGTTTTAAAAGAGGCTCTGAACTTTTAGAGATACTTACTGAAATATTTGCAAATGAAATGACACCACTCCTGGGATTTGCCTCAGTAATTCTGGGAAGGAGGAGAAAGTGGGTGCAGATGTAGATGGACCGAGAACGGACAGGTGTTGAAGTTGAGATGGGCACACGGGGGGCCTGAAAGCTTTCGCTCCAATTCCATATGATTGGCACTTTTTTTTTTTTATGATAAAAAGTTGAAAGAAAGAAAGAAAGAAAGAAAGAGTGGGAGGGAGGGAGGAAGGAAGGAACTCACAATGTTAGAAGCAAAAATTAGAAAGCCTGACATGGTCAATACTGATACGAATTCAATTATTTATCCTAAGGTACTGATTCCTATGAAGAGAATTTCAGCAGAATAAAATTTGATAATGGAAAAGGAATAAACACTCGAAATGGCTTAGCTGTGCAGTACAGAAAGTTGATTGAGGAATGAAATTGACTTAGGATTCATTAAGTTTTGTTTTTATTCCTAAACACATCAGGGGCCCTGGACGGGACTACTTGTTGTAGAACTTGGCTCATGACACAGTATCATCGCTGATCCATGCATGTCCTCTTCTCTATGTAGATACAATAAACACCCATAAACCCACCATCCGTGCCCAAAACCAGATCTTATGGACAATTTCTGTGTAATATGTGACTCCCCGGTCCCATCCTCCTGCTTCCCACTCGGAGGTAACCACTATATCCTCAGTGATATGATTCTCATTCTTTTTGTTTTATCCTATATGTGTGTGCTTAAAAATACATTATTTGGTTTTACTTGGTTTTGCTCTTTAAAAAAAGGGGGGTAACCATACTGATTGTTGTCTTCTGCAATTTTTTTCTCTCAATTCATGTTTCCAAGGTGTATCTCTGCATTGTTGCCCAAATGCCCAAAGCTGTAGCTCAGTCTTTTCCACTTCGGTATGACAATGTCATCATGTATCTGTCCTTGTGATGGTGGGCATACAGGTAATTTTCAGTTTTTTGCTGTACTGAACAGCGTTGCTTTGAGCTTTCTTCTGGTATACATGTGCTGAAATTTATCTTGCATAAATCACCAGAAGTGGGACTGCAAAGTCATAGGAAATACACATATTCCACTTTACAAGATAATCAAATTATTTTCCAAAGTCACGGTGCTAATTTACACTTGCACCCACAATGCATGAGAGATCCACTGGCCCCACATCCTCTCCAACGCTCAACTACTGTCGGACTTCTTAATTTGCCAACCAGTGGGTGTAAAATGTTCTCTTATTTGCATTCATTAGTACTAGTAAGGCTGAACATATTTTCGTGTTTATTAACCATGTTTCCTCTTCCACAAATTGCCTCTTCATATTCTTATACCATTTTTCTATTGAGCCGTTTATATTTTTCTTATTTGTTCTTCTTTATGTATTTTAAAGTTCTCATTCTTTTCCAATTACCTATTTTGCAAATAATTTCTCGGTTTTTAGCTTCTCTGTTACAGTTTTTAAAATTTTTGATGAGCAAGCTTTATTTCAAGGTAGTTGAGTTTATTAATCTTTTATTTTATGACTAATTGACTAATGTCTTTTAAAATAGCCTTCTTCACCCTGAAACTAGTTTTCTGTATTATAAAGATTCACTAAGAGATTTTACTGGGAGTGATTATTAAATCTTATCAAATGATTCTTTCTACAGACAGATCCCTTCGTAATTTTCTTCTTGGTTTTCTATCATTTCATTGATTTATACTCTTATTTTTTTATCACAATCTTTATACATTTTGGGGGGTTTCTTCTGTTATTCATGTGCTAGTTTCTTTACCTATTTTTTAGCCTTTCTTCTTTGGAATATAATCACTGAAAGGTATAAAATTCCTGAAAGCACAGGAGTTTCTGTGGCCCTCTGCAAATTTTGATTTGTAACGTTTTCATTACTGTTGGGCTCCGATTATTTTTTAGTTGCCAGTACAGTCTTTCTCTTTGACTCATTTCTAGAAGTATTTTTTTTTTTTATTTTCTAAAGACGTGGTGATATTTTCATTAACCTTATTACTGTCTTTGGTTGAATTGTACGGTGGTGAGAGCATCATGGTCTGACTCGTATTCTCTGAAACTGGATGAGATTTCCTTTACGGCCCAGAGCAATGTCAATTTTTGAAAACACTCCGGGGATTACTCAGGAGAATATATTATCATCTACCTAGTGGTTGTAGACTTCTTATAGATCACTATGTCAAGCCTGTTGACTGCTCTTCAAGTCTTTATCTTTGCTGACTGCTTATCTAATGTAACCACAATTGAAAAAGATATTTGCGGTGGCAGATCTGTGTAATTCCCCATGTGTTTCCCAAAAACAAGCTCAGAAAGCTAAATTCAAGTCTTAAAGCAAAGACTGATAGCCAAGGACTTTCTACGGCTATGAAGAATTCCTTATTTCTCATAGCCTCAGGGCCAAGAACGCTGGCAACCATATTCCAGTTCTGGTCCAAGAGTTCCCAAATTATAACATCACTTGAATTCTCAGCTTTACCAGAAGTCATTAGTACAATAGTCTGAAAGCAAAATGTGTGTGTGTGTGTGTGTGTGTGTGTGTGTAGGGGATTGTATAGGATGGAATTAGGAAATATGAGAGAGAATGCAGAAGACTCAGAGGCCCTGAACCCTTTACCCCCCCATAAGCTGCCTATGGGCACCCTAACCACACCACAGATACTGCCACTGTCTGTCTACATCACTTGACTGGTTGCTTCTTGAGGGCCTGGATAACACCATCCTGCGTATCCCTAAATGAGGCAACCATGCTGGCCTTCCTCCAATAAGTGGTACCCACCCATGCGGTGGGCTGGAGCCCCAAGGCAGAGCGGGGGAGTTGCCTTCTATCCATTCATCATGTCTTCCTTGATTCCTCAGGAACAGAAGCTAGTTATGTTTATTTTTGTTTTCTTGAGCTCGCAATGTGCTTGCCTAAAACATAGCATTTTCCGGGTTTCCCCGCAGTGGGTTGATAGCATGTTTTGACTAAATTCTGGCCAATGAGATTGAAGCATAAGTATTATGGAGGAAATCTAGGAATGACTCTTAAAATTAACTGAATTATCTAAGAGGAGGATCTTCTTTTTTCTTTTTGGTTTTCTTAACTCTTGTTTCCCTCTTCCTTCACAGAGATGACAGCTGGACCCACTGCCATCTTGGATTTTGAGAATGGAAGTCACATGCTAACATGGCAGAGGCAGAAAGACAGACAAATCATTGGTTCCTGATGCTCATGGGGCTTCTATCTGGCCGGGCTTCTATCATCTGCCTTTAGGGTCCTTCTATATATAAATAAATAAATAAATAAACTTCTCCCTCATTAAGCTGTTGCCATTTTGGTTTTTCCATTGTTCCCACTGAACCTAACCCTAACTCATACAAGCAATCAAGGCAGCCCTCCTGAAGGACATATACTATCAGAGGTCAGGGGTAAAGAGATAGATGACTACGGGCAGGGGAGGCAATAAAAGGCATGCAAAATTTTGTGAAAATTCTTTCTCCAACATATATTCTTTGCAAAAGAAGACTGGAAAATTTGGGAGGAACATTTCTCATTCAATGCATTTTTTTTTTCTTTCCAAAGAAGCATGACATGTAATAATCCGTGGGGATTTATTAAAATAAAATTAAGATCTCTCAAGCAATCAATAAGGTCTAAGGATAATTTCATAGCAATTCCATAGCACTGCCAAAGCTGAAGGTAGTAAGGATAGTAATGACCACACAGAATTCAGGGGCAGGGTTTTTGGCTTTTTTTGTTGTTGTTGTTTTTAAAGCCCTGTGTGGTTGTAAAGAAATCTAATTCAACGATTTCTCTTTTATGAAGAATATCCACAAATGTAAACTTTAAAGGTAGTTATTATCTAGCACACTTCCCCACTTTAGGAGAAAACATGAAAGAAAAAAAAATGGTTTTGTCTTGTTCTTAAATGTCAGATCCTCCGCAAATACCAGCGGGTGTTAACTTTGGCCTTCCACTGCTCTGCAGATGACGGGGTATTTTTACTCACCGTGGCATTTTCAGACAGAAACCACTCAGGGATTGCAATATAGTGATTGGGAACTTTCCTTGGAATGTTCTGTCGGTCCTCTGCCTCCCAGAGCAGCGTGTTTAAGTCGGGAAAGTTGTTGTTGATGTCGATGCCATCATGGGTCCAGCGCCCCAGGGACCAGCCACCCAGCTCCGAGCCCTGGGGGACGATTCCAAGCATGAGGGACCCACAGGCTTCCAGACTTCTCCCACACAAGATGTCCCTGTCTCCACGTCCACCATCCCCACCTGGGTGTGTCTCTAAGCCTCATGGCCCTCTGGCCCAAAGACAGCACCCAGAACACTGAAGCATCTCCTAGTACTACTTGGTGGGTGGTGGGTTAATATTGCCAAATCACCCCAAGAGGGAATGCAGAGCCTCACCCCAGTCACATGGCAGTGTTCAAGCAGTATTAAAATTTCTTCTCCCCTACCCCCCACCCCCAGAGAGCTTCTAGACTGGTCAGATGAAACTCTGTGTAGGAATGAAATCCAAGAGTCCGGCATTGCAAAATCAACCAGCACCGTGTTAACTTATTCTCCCTGCCATGCCATGAGTCGGGGTCGCAAACCCCTGACCAACGGATCTTGCAAATCGGGCACTGAAAATCCCTAACCAACTCTGTACCCATAAGCACAACCACAATTCTGTATTATAAGGCATGCGTGTGATAGGTACCAAGCACAGTTTTCCACTTTATTCCCAGATAATACTAATAATAGTCTATACATAACTATAACCTACACAAACTCTACGTCATAATTAGAACATGAAATGTAAACGATCTATCAGAATAATAAAAACAACTCTTCTCGGAGTACTGAAAGGATTATAGGCAACAAGTGAATTGAAGGCCTGCCTTGATTATGTGCTCCATCAATGTTCAGTGTTATTTTTATTCTGTTCTGTTGTGATCATTGAAAATGCAACCAGTATTATTCCTTCATGTTCACTTTTTCCAGTTTGTTGGCATGTCTACCTCTCGGGTACCCACGATTCTCAATTCCTGCTTTGCATCTTTCATGAGCCCTGTGAGTTTCCCTGCCTCAGTGGAGAGACACTGAAAGGGAAGCCAGTGATACGGAACAGAAATTGACTCGTGGCCCAGCGTGCTCTGCGGCTGGGGCCTACGGGCTGCCCTGACCAAGAGGAACAGCATCATTACCCCTTCATAGGCCTTCTCATAGCCATCGGGGTTGAGGGAGGGGAGGATGTGAATGCGGGTCTCCTCCACCAGGCGGACGATGCGCGCGTTGCGGGCCAAGTACTCTTGGCACAGGAACTGCATCAGCAACAAGGTCAGCTCTCGGCCCAGCACCTCGTTGCCGTGGGCCCCTGCGATGTAGTGGAACTCCGGCTCACCTTATTCAAAGACGGGAAGAAAATACAGGTTCATATCGATGCTTCTAGCAGGACAGCCCTTACCATTTAGGATTAAAAAACCTCTGAGTAATATCAACTTACAATTTTACCCTATCTCTTCTTTCAAATAGGCCCCCCAAATTATATCACTATACTTTTTTTTTTAATTCCCAAATAGGTATATAAGAAAATGTGTAGAAAACTCTTAGATGATACCAGCCCCTGAGTAATCATGTTTATTATTATTTAACAAGAATGGAGAAAGTAACACAGTGCGTAGGGTTTAAAATTTACAAATGAAACACAAGCCATAACAATGATTTTTCTCTTTTGGGAGGCAATCGTTCTTCTCAAAAGAAGGTCCTATTAAATCTTAGAAGGACACAAAGATGGATAAATAGAAGCAGAAAACAGATCAGCAGGGGACATCAACACTGACACAATTTTGTAAGGGGGCTGGCTGCCTTTGAGGTTTTCCTCTTCCGAGCTCAGCTTTTCCAGTGTTGGGGCTTATCAGTGCCCAGAATGGGCTGACAATACTTCTTCTCTCACTGGCAAAGCTACTGCTTTTAAGGAAATGTGATTTTACCTGCAGATCAAGCCCTTACCCTTTCAAAGAAACTCCTAAGAGGAACTCCTGAAATACTGACAAATTTAGAGTTGAATGAAGCAGACAAATCTCAGACTTAATCATCGGTGGGTTTCTAAAGGACTCGCAGATTTACCAAAAAGAAAACCTGAGAAGCCCCTCTGACCTGGAGGAGAATCCAGGTTCCAGAGTGACTGAATGAGAAATGGCTGAAGATAGGAAATGCTCGAAAGTAGAATTAAATAAAAAAAAAAAAATTAGGGGACCTCCCTCTAACTTAAGCCATTAATAACTTAAGTCCAGAACTTTCTTCTATAAGAGGATTCAGTCCTAACCAACTCTGGCCACTTTTTTCTTTGGTCAGTGTGACTGACCTCAGAGCTGGAGAATAGAACTAAATGTGGTTCATTTGGAGAAAAGGAAGGTATCTCTACCTTAAATAAGTCAACAGCCTATATCACAAGATAAGAGCTTCACAGAACCAAAATTAGCAGACTCTGTGTGAGAGAGTGGTGAGTGGACAGCGCCTGGCCTGTTTCATGAATGTTCTCACAGAGGGGAGCCATCTCCTGGCTCTTTAAGAAGGCACGAGACATGGAGGGACAGGTGCCTCACAGAGGGGTAACCTCACCGACTTCATGCTCCCCAGGGTGGTCAGAGATCTCCACGGCATACAGCTTCAGGCCCTGGTGGCTCTTGCCAATGTTGTAAATTCTGGTGATGTTGGGGCACATTTCGTTCACGACCTTCATCAGCTGAAAAACAAAATGGAGTTAAGGCTCTAAGCAATGATGGCCGTGCTCTAAAGGCACAGAGCTCCCAAGATAGCACCTGCTGGTCCCCTCCCACAGCCCCCCTGCATGCCTTCACCCTCCCCAAACACCAGGGCTATCCCCTCCGCCTGGAATGTTCTCCTCGGGTTGTGATTATCACCTTCCTCGGCTGTGGGCTTACCTTTTTATTGTGGTTTCCTGTTTTATTTTTGTCTCCTCGCTAGACTACAGATCCTTTTTTTTTAAGATTATATTTATTTATTTGACAGAGAGACAGAGCACAAGCAGGGGGAGCTGCAGGCAGAGGGAGAAGCAAGCTCCCCGCTGAGCAAGGAGCCCGATGCGGGACTCGATCCCAGGACCCTGGAACCATGACCTGAGCCAAAGGCAGACGCTTCACCAACTGAGCCACCCAGGCGCCCCAAGACTACAGATCTCTTAAGGGACAGATTGAGCCTTTGCTCTCCATAACCCTGCCTAAATAAATATTTATTACCAAATATCAATTTTTTCTCATAATTTAATGAGCATCTTTGGTGTGTCAGGCTGAGGGAAGACACGGCTCCCACCCTCCTGGAGCTTACGGTGCAAAACAGAGGGGAGTCATCTGATGACCTAGTTCACTGATGCTAAGTAAGGGGGTGCAGGGAAGCCATGATAATGGCGCATCACGTGGTGAAAAGGTGGGGAAAGCAGGCTTTGATGAGGAAGTAAAAATCGGTATGTGTTATTTCCTGAATTTTACATTTAAAGTTGAGCTCGTTAGACCGAGAGCTTCGGTCTGAAGGGATGAGATGAGCTGCCAAAGGAGGTAAGGAGGGCTCTGCTGGTCACAGGAGTACAGGCTGCCCTTGAGAGGAATGGGGGGGCTGTTGGGGACTCTCGTCCACAACAGGGCAAAAGCAGAGACCCGCCATCATTGGAGAGACAGCACGTGAGGGAACCACGGCTTCTACGCCCATCACCCTGGGGACACATACATGCTGCAGGGTTGAAGTGGGACCACGTGCACAGCACCACATCTTCCCAAGGGACACAGTGTCACTAATAATGTCAACTATTGCATTAGCCACACATTCTATCTCTTCACTGATTTTCACTGTCATGACCTGCAGGTGAAGTAAGTAAGGCAGAGGTGACTGTCCCCATTCTACAAATATGGAGACTGAGGCTCAGAGAACCATTAATGATTTGCCCAGGGTCACCCAGCTGGTACCAGGTGCTGTGGACTCAGGGCTCTTCTGCGTCCCTGAAGGTGCAGCAAAGCAATGAACACCAGCACATCTCTGCGGCCCGTTTTGTCAGCTGCACGCCATGACCATTCTGAAGATGGCCACAGCACAATCACCATCTGATTTAGGGTCCCACGTACTAGTCCCTGCAGACTGCAGTCATCCTCATCTACCACCATCAACCTCAGCAAATCCTGAGGAGCAGATGATCCACTGCCTTGGTTCAGATCAATGACTAGTTCTGCAGACACAGCCCCTCCAGTCATCCTTAACTAGGCAACAAACACAACCATCCAGCACACAGCCTGGCTGTCACTTAATGCCTACCCTCCTCCTCCGTCCAATCAGCTGCAGGAGCAACATGCCACCTGTGTTCGAGATCAGGACCTTGACACTGGAGCACAAACTCCACCTTCTGTTGGATGCACACTTAGCCGTGGAGACATCTCTCGGTATGGGACAGCCTCAGCCGTGACTCACCAGTCACCTTTTTATACCCCAGCCATCCTAGCGTTTTCCTCCCAGCCACATTCCCTCCATGTGCTGTGGTGTCATGAGCACCTTTACACATGAGAATGAGGACACAGGCATTTGAGGAATCTCCTTTCTGAAGGTTCTTTCCAGTTCTCTCTGCACAGAAAGAAATTCTCTCTGAAATGCCAGGAAGGGTTTCCCCAGTGGCCACCAGCCCCATTAACGACCTAGCTGGTGACCCACCTTGCTTATTCCCGAAATGAGTCAAAGATGTCTTAGTGGAGTTGCAGTCTTGATGGTTAAAGTGACAGTAAAGACTAGAACTTCTTCCTGGCCTCAGAGCATGCATTCTCAGTGGGGGCGACATCACCCCCCAAGAGGCAAAACCTGGTTGTCTGGGGCTAAAGGTCTCACACATCACAATGCTTTGTGGCCCTCCAAAGCTCAGCCCTACCCAACAAAAATCTTACTCGTTAATATTTAATATAATGTGCAGAGGATAATTAAGAAAGTGTCTAAAAAGCCTCCTGGGGGTGGGGTGGTGATAATGAAACCAGGTTGAGATCGATCACCTAGAGAGCATGTGGGTTTGCAGAGTCTGAGCCTCATTGAAACTCTGTTTCCTCATCCCTGAGATGGGAATACACTTTGCCAACCTCGTATCTACTGAATCCTAGGCTCTGCTGCTTCCCTCCTCCTCTGCAGGAGAAACAGAGCCCTTTTCTCTAGCAATTCAGTTTCCAGCAATATACAGGAAGGGACTTCTGCATAAAGGATGCTACAATGACAGGCACATGGCACTTGCTGTGGTGGCTCCACCCTCTCCCCGGGGACACTAAGCCGGGAGATGTCCCAGTGCTCCAGGGCACAAGGCAGAGGGGAAGAGCACACTCCATCTGCTCCCTGGGACGTTCTGCAGCATCACAATTTTCCACAAAAGCATGGAAAATGGCTCGCGATCCAACATTAACTGAGGGAAGCAAGGCAAAATTATCACCATCCTCTCATCAAAATCGAATGAATTCTGTGAATGTAGAGACTGAAACCCCGGACAGGAATGGGGGAAAATGCAAATGGCTGATTCTTGAGGGCAGTGGGCAGAGGGAAGATGGACCTTAGACTTTGGGTTTGCATTTGATGTTGACATAGTATTGTTTCTCCAGTGAATTAAAATGTTTTTAAAAAAGGGTGGAGGGAGAAGAGAAAAAGTCCCCTTCCACCAGCTTTATTCATTTGCCTGAGAAACAGGCACTGCATCTGGTCCCATGAAGAAGGAATCCCAGAGAGTAGGAGGGGAGAATGGTGGTAGGAGGCACCCAGGGTTAAGGAGATGGGCTTGTCCGGGTCCGCTGGTGGGCTGCCCTGCCCTGGCTTCTTGCCACCATCACCCCCCGCCCCCGGCAGGTGCCCCACAGCCTGGCGCCCCTGGCCCACCTTCGCTGCCCTGGAAATCAAAGTCAAATCGTGAACCTTTTCCTCAAAACCACTTATTTTCCTCCCTTTGTGGATGGTACCCCACCCTCCCGGGAGGCATGCCAGACCCCTCTCTCTCTCTCCCAACTCGTTCCAACAGGAGACCTAGGACTAGCCAGTCCTCCTCAGAACTGCCTCTCTCTCATCCATCTTCAGGCCTGGTGGCCCCTCTCCTGGGGACCACAGCCGTGCCCAACAGTCCACTCCCCACAAGCCTTCCAGACAGATCTCCCTAAAACACTGCTCTGCCCCATAAAACCTCCTCTGATTCTCAGACGCTACACAAAAGCCTCTCCCAGCACTCAAGCAAGCCTTCTCTCCCAGCAGACTGTTCCAGAAGCACGCCATTCTGCTTCTACTTCCGTCCCTTTGCTCTTGCTGCCTGGGGTGCCCTCCCTTCTGTCTCCACCTGCCCAAGGCTGGCCAAAGGCCCCGGACCATAGCCGACCCCATCTGCATCCAAAGCCCATCCCAACCAGGCCAACCGGGCCGGTCACTTCTCCCTCCTATCCCCCAAAAATCTCCCCTGGAAGACCTCTGAAGTATATATTTATCTAGGACACGTTACAGGTTTATGACAAAGTGAAAGAGTCTCTGCCCTCATGGTCCCTAATGAAGGAGATGTATATAGACAAAGAGGTGACCCAGCAATTAGAAATGGTGACACATGCTGTGAAGGCTGGAGTGCTCCTGGAGGGGTGGCCTCACTCTGCCCCGCGACATCAATGATGCGAAACCTGCTCTTTGCCGTCCCCTTCCCTTCCCATCCCACCCGCCAGGGCCCCCCTGCAGAACAGCACCTTATAAGTCAGTGCTCGAGAAATATTTCCTGCACACATTCTCAGCATTTCCCATGCAACGTGTTTTTCTCTTTTCTCTTCCTGCTCCGCTGCTGTTTCTCATTTTTTTGTTTGTTTGTTGGTTGGTTGGTTGGAAATGTCTCTCTCAATACTAGGATAAACTAACATTTTTTTTTTTTTTCTGAAGTAGAAAGATTTCTATAGTAACCCAGCAGACTCCATATGGGGAATTACTAAAAATGCTGGCTTCTTTTTCATCCCCAGGAGCCAGGAATCCAAATGGCAAATCACTTCCGGCTTGAACACCCTTTGGGATTGATAGATGCTCCCCTGAACAGTTTCCAGTTGAGGTCTGAGAAGCCCTGGCGTCACCCACCATCACCTGCAGGGGCTGCACTGGCCATTCCAAGTGTCTCCTTGGCTCTACATCACCAAGTGATGGTGAGCAGAGTTGCCCAGGAAAATGAAGTACACTCCACTAGTTCTCCTTTTCTGCAAGGACCCCAATTTTCTTTTTTTTTTTTTAAAGATTTATTTATTTGAGAGAGTGAGAATGAGAGAGAGAGAGCACATGAGAGGGGGTAGGATCAGAGGGAGAAGCAGGCTCCCCGCCGAGCAGGGAGCCCGATGTGGGACTCGATCCCAGGACTCCGGGATCATGACCTGAGCCGAAGGCAGTCGCTTAACCAACTGAGCCACCCAGGCGCCCAAGGACCCCAATTTTCTAACACAGAACAACTATTTAAAGATACCAGCTACCCAGAGTCTCTGTGCAGTAGCTCATTTTAAATGCATTTAGATTCATTGCTTTTGACATTAATTGCACCAGCTGAGTGGATATTTGCCCAGTTTCTGGACTCACAAAGATATCCCGAGATGTGCAGTAAGCAAAGCTGAATTAACCCACAAGTGCTCCGTGAAATGGAAGGGTGAGCTGAGCCATAGGAGTGCCAGAGAATGTAGAGCAGCAGGGAGGATCCACAGACCTCAGGTCCAGACACATTAGCCTGCTTTCTAAAGAGCAGGACAGCAAGACAATTTCTCTAGCATGTCCCGCCTCTAAGTCTAAGCTGACAGGTGTCAGGAAGCTCTGTGGGAGTGATAAATGACACTGAGACAAACAGGGCTTGTTGATTCCCTGGGATGAGGCAGGAGAGGCCTCTGGGCTCAGTCTAATGGCTCCGACCTCAGGAACGTCTCTGGCACTTGGACTGGGCCTCTGGCTCCTTCTCTCGGCACCCATGAGCCCTTGCTTTGAGCCTTGCTAATTTGCTCTTGGTGAATCCTTGTTCTGTAAATGCATTCGTGAGGATATCTCTCCATTCTGTCTCTTCAAACAGATTCTCAGGTATCCAAGGATTTCTCATTTGTCAGTGTCCCCCAAGCATTCCAAGCACCGTGCTGGGGGCAAAGGCTGAACAGGATTTTATAGGCAAAGCACTCAGCACAGACACTGTTCTTTCAGCTTGTCCTCATAAATGGCTGGTCCCTTCTCCCTTTCAGGCCCAGTATGCAAACACTGTCCACGGCTCGGAATTACTTGGTTTCTGTAACTAAATCTGAGGACGATCTTGGCTGGAATGGACTTTGCTCCTAACGGCACTAAAATCCTAAGATCTATAAAGATATCAGTCAGTAGTTCTGAAGCCTGGCCGTACGTTAGAAACGCAGGGAGAGCTTTGAAAAATTTAGACCTCCAGGCCCTCCTCCTAAGGATTCTGCTTTAAAAAGTGGCCTGAGGTGAGGTTCAAGTACAGATATTTTTCCAAATTTCCCCAGGTGATTCTGTGACATAACCAAGATGGACAATCAGAGAGTGAATAACAAGGGGTAGAGTTCTAGATTTCCTTGGTGACTGGGCTTCCCCATCAGTAAGGTCAGGAAATAGTCCCTGCCCTCCTGGGGTGGTTAGGAGGGCTGACCATGCTGATGCAGGTAAACTGCTCAAGTAGTAAATTAACGTAGGTCCTACATGAAGGCTTCCAGCTATTACTTTTATCAGTGGTGTTCTAGATGCTTTTTCTTCTTTAACTCTGCCTATGACTAACATCCTCAAGTCAGTTATCACTCAAACACACAGTGAATCTTAAGAACTATTATTAAATCAGAAAAGTCTGGGTCCAAATTCTGTTTCAACCATTTGCTGGATAGGGAGCCTTCCTCTGGTCACTGGAACCCCAGTGAGGCATTCTCAATGTAGAAACCACAAGCATTCAGTGTGGCTTCAGAAAACCAAAAGGACCATTCAGATTCCTATCCCAAACACACCATCCTAATTTCTAGAAAGAAAAACAAAAAAAAAAACAAAAAAAACTATGTTTTTCTGGGCACAGGATATAATGCTCTTTGAGAATTCTGGAGCTTACCTGGCGCATTTCCTTATAGTTGTGGTGCTTAAAATCCAGGTCATCAGTGGTGGTCATTTCGTTCCTTCGATGATAATAGTTGTTCGGATCTAGGGATAGAAATACGGTTTTGAATTCACTCACATAAGTCGGTTACTTGTAAGGTCAGGAAACAGTCCCTGCCTTCCAGGGGTGGTTAGGAGGGCTGACCACGTTGCCTGATTCATGTGGAGACACAACCCAATCTCAAGCTTCTAACATATGCACAGAGGTTAGACAGCCAACTTTCGAGAAGCATCTCAGGAGTCAGAATTAGCCAGTGGTGGAGATGGACCTGGAGCCAGAATGCCTGGTTCAAATCTCCACTCTCCTACTTAAGTGCGGTGTGACCTTAGATAAGTCCCTGGAGCAGTCTCTGCCTTAGTTTCTTCACCCGGAAACAGGGAAGAAAGGTACTTCCCTCATTGGTTCTCGGTTGGTATTAGTTGGAATAATCTATGTGTCTGGCAAACTGTTGGCACTGAATGAATGAATGAGTGAATGAATGAATCATTGAATGAATATCACAACTGTATACATAAATGGAAACTTCTGGAAGTATGGTGCACACTATTAGTTACTCATCCAGCATTCAGTCCACTTCCATCCTTCCTAACAGAAACCCTGTGTGGTTTGGGAATCACCCCAAAGCTTCCAGGAAACAGACCTCGCATCCCAGCTCAGGGAGCCAGTGTGACTGGTGGCAACCAGTCAGAGCCCAGCACACCCTGGACACTCTTCCTGGTCCAGATGGGAGGGAGGCACAGAGGAGTGAGAATCTCTCCGGAGTAGAGGACAGAAAGAACCCCACCAACATCAGGAGCTACTTCCAATCACGTGGCTTGTCAAATTCCCTTACTCACTAAGCCAGGGGGGCTGGGGTTTCTGTTGTTGGAGCCGGAGACCCCAACAGGCAGGATCAGGCTATATTAACACTGGTCACCTATGGGGACTGGGATTTGGGGGTCTGGGAGGAGAGGTCTGCTCTTGACTTGATTCTCTTCCCCATATAAATTGACCTTTAATACATGTAAGCCCTGTTGTTTATGTAATTATGAGAACAAAGGACCCTCAGAATTATGAGAAGAGAGGACCCTCAAAGGACAGGCTGGGGAAGAAGATTGAGGAGGAGTATAAAGGGGAGGAGCACTCAGTGAACCTGGAGGGCTTTCCCTGGACCTGGTCGCAGGTCTTTCCCTGGCCACAGCCAGCCCCATGGCATCTCCAACTGGACGAGGAAGCCAGAAATCCTGGCCAGCTCCTGACGTAGAGAGAACATACTGCTCTCGACAGGTGACTCTCCTAACCCAGACCCCTGTAGGCAAGGCTGAAGCCACAGCAGCTGTGGGTTTGATCCAAGAGGCTCGAAGGGGGAGTCCAGAGGCAGTGGCAGGGGTGGATGACAGAGGGATGAGCGTTTGTTCCGAGTGGTATCAGGAGCCGCGGGTCCCGCTTTGTGCCACCAAAGGTGCTCCTCAGACCAGCACTCCAGCTGCCTGTAAATCCAGCCCAGACCTACTGAATCAGAACCCACAGTAAAAACAATCCCCGCTGACTCCACAGGCTCGGAAGTCTGAGGAGCACTCTGTTAAAGTACCAAGCACGCTGCCGGCAGGAACGAGGCCCTGGATGCACACTGCACACAGCTGCCGTCCACCGAGCCATGGCCATGACCGCCGTAACCGACCTTGCCAGGGTTCACCTGCACTGGCTTCACCCTTGAGAACTGCAGCTCCATGCAATGCGCTGAAAATCACAGAGAGACCCAAACACCAACAAACCAGATTTTAGTATCCACCAAAGTATTATTTGCCAGTAATACATGAGAAACAAGGACTATCCCTGAAAGGGAGAAAGTAGGAGGGCAGGCTGCCATTTTGTCCAGGAAAGAGCAGAAGCCGATCAGGTTTTGCACAGGCCCCCCCAAACACATTTCAAGCACTTTCCTTCTGGGAGTGTGGGCTGACCACAGGCAAGCTGCCTCCCCTTGGGTTTCCAAACCTGTATGTCTCAAAGCAAAGGTAAAGCATAGTTTTCACATTAATTTACACTTCGTTTACCCATATGATGTTTTCTAAGAGCTACTCAACACTCCCCAAGTCCAGGGGCCTCTTTCCAAAACTCTTTAAAGCCCTTTTGCCTTCAAACACAAGTTATGCCTTCAAGGTTCTTAAAAAGGATTGAAGAAAAACTCAGAACTCTAAGTACAAAGGAGCTCCACGTTTGGCAATGTTCTGCCTTCCTTAAGACTAGTCAATTTGCCTAAGGACAAGGGTACAAGTTCCAGAACTATTTCAAAACCACAGGTCAGTATTCTTCACAACTTCCCATCGCCCACATTTGGAGCAAATAATTCTTTATCAACTGATTCTGATTAGATAAAGTTTTACTGAGAACCTATTAAGAGCTTAGGACTGTAGGTAAAGAGATGAGCAAGAACCGAATCTGGTCCTCTTGGGGCCCAGAGTCTGCAATCCCAGTCAATTAGTCAAACTACTGGCCCCTTCCTCTTTCTGTGGGCAAAAGACCCCCTTTTCCTGTGGGGAATCTATTCCAGATGTTTCAGATAAAATTGCCTTGCCTAGCATGCACAGTTAGGAGTCTGTGACTGAGGTTCAGGCATGAAACAGCGTCCTCTACCCATAGTCACTGGCTCAGAGGTGATGCCAAGATCCTAGGATCCAAGCTGGGAATCAGATGACGTTCCTCCCAGAGATAAGAGGAGAGTCTCCTTCCCCTGGAGTTGCTCAGATGGTGGAATGGGTTTGGGGTGTTGATCTCCCTGTCTGTGAGATGAACAAAAGGGGAGGCCTGACTCCCTGAGAAGACCGTGACATAGGAGACCTATTCTTGCCTGAAGCCAGAGTCAGAATCAGATCCACCCCTGGAATTTTCATTTATGTGAGCTCAAATCCCTCCCCCCATAAGCTAATTAGAATAGGGCTTCTGACATTTGAAACATAAGTCCTGATTCAGTCTGTGAGGCCTTTATCCTCACAGATGGAGCTCGGGAGAATCAGTTTCCTGCTTCCCTTAGAGTGTGTGGTTTCACACGTCATATGTCCTGAACACCAGCCGATTCCTTCTTCAACACCGTAGTTACAGGGACAAACTCTCGAGGGGGCGTGTGGAGCCTAAAACCAACCCCTTGACTTTTCTTCTCTTATTCAGCTATTTAAAATCCTGCTTTGCCTGAATTTGTCTACTGATTATGCATTGTGGGGGTTGAATTATGTCCCCCCCAAAAAGATATGTTGGAGTCCTAACCCGTAGCACTTCCGGATGGGACTTTATTTGGAAAGAGGGTTTTTACAGAGGTCAGCAAGTTAAAATGAGGTCATTAGAGCGGGCCCTGACCCATTATGCCTGGTGTCTCTAGCAAGGGGGCGGTGCAGACACAGAGGTAAGCATGCAGAGAAAAGACTCTGTGGAGGTGAGGGCACAGATGGGGTGATGCATCTACAAGACAGGGAAACCAAAGACTGCCAGAGGTGACCCCCCCCAGAAGCTGGGGTAGAAAGAGGGAGCAGGTTCTCCCTCACAGCCTTCGAAGGAGCCAGCCCTGCTGACGCCTAGATCTAGATAGAACTTCTGGCCTCGGGGCGCCTGGGTGGCTCAGTCGTTAAGCATCTGCCTTCGGCTCAGGTCCTGATCCCGGGGTCCTGGGATCGAGCCCCGCATCGGGCTCCCTGCTCAGCGGGAAGCCTGCTTCTCCCTCTCCCACTCCCCCTGCTTGTGTTCCTCTCTTGCTATGTCTCTCTCTGTCAAATAAATAAATAAAAATCTTTAAAATTAAAAAAAAAAAAAAAAAAGAACTTCTGGCCTCCAGGACTCAGACAGTAACTTTCTATTATTCCAAACCACCCAGGTCTGGGCACTCTTTACGGCAGCCCTAGGAGACTGCTAGGAACCTGGGACATTCCTGCCTCCTCATTGCCATGGACACCTGCTCTTCCCATCCCCACACACACGCCAGCTCACTCCACAGGGCTCTTTTTAAAGACAACAGTGATCATTCCAGATCAAACCTAACTCCTGGAAATCTGGGGTGGGGGGCATGGTATCAAGATTCTTGGACTGTTCTGCTTTGCTATTTGCTTGCTTTGGGGACCTTGCTTGATGGGAGCGGGCGTTGAGTGGGGACAGGAGAGGCTATCTTTGCTGGAAAGGAGGCTCACATGCAATCAAGAATCACTGGGCTCACAATGCCTTTGACATTCCTATCCAGAGCAGGCGATCCATAGAGGCAGAGATTAGAGGTCAAGGGATGGCGGAGGGGGTCAGGAAGTGATGACTCGATGGGCCCCGGTGGGTGGGTTTATGGGTCCACGGTGAAGTTCAGACACTAGACAGAGTCGGTGATGGCAACACCTTGTGAATATGCTAAATACCACTGACGTGTATCTTTAAAATGGTTCATTGGACGTTACACGAGTTTCACCTCATTTTTTTTTTTTAAAAAAGGGCTGCCTGCCTCCTCTGCAGACGAGGAGGCCACCAGAGACACATCGCCAGAAAAGACAGTTGTCGAAAGTGCTGATGTTTCTACAGTTCCCCAATAATCAACACGGAGCAGCTGGACCAAGAAGAGAAACCACGAGTTTATTTAAGCTCAGTAAGGGCACATTGCCCTCAGTTGCAGGGAGAACGGGCAGCACCCAGCAAGGCTGGATCCCCCTGAACTGAGAGGGGTTCCCTCGGGGTAAGGATGCCGGGCACGCTTCCCTGGTTATACTGCGAGAGCTCTGGGGGCAGTGAAGGTGTCTGTCTTCTCCCAGAATCCCAGGGCCCTGCCTCAGAATGGGCACATTCTACATGTTTGATGTATGAATGCAGGAGTGAGGAATGAATGAATGGGGGGACGGATAGATAGAGATCCCAATCAAGTTATTTAAGAAAGACTACTTACGAAAAAGTTAACACTTTCTGGGGCTGGGAGACCTCTGAGAAGGGGCCCACTTCATGCTGCAATGCTATGCCCTATCACCAGGGTGGAACGAAGGCGGAAATGTAGGGCAGAGGGCGTCGTGAATGCCAGCCACATCCTTGGGGCTGAGAACAATTATG